GTCAAAGAATGATTATGTACATTTTTAAGTGAAATATGTTGTCCAGTTATACTTCATGGAGATTGTAAGATTGTCAAATAAAATTTAGATTTAATGAAATTGATAAATTTTAGTTAGTGGCCATTTTACTAAAAGATTATCTTAGACTTGAAGAAATATTCAACACATAAATTCTTTAAATGATTAATCTCTGCTGTACATTTAAATGACAATTCAGTTGAATTGCACGTGGTAAGTACACCAATATCCAGTAATACATCTTTTGTGTAAAACATGTAAAGATGACAACATGTTTTGAAAACATCATTGATTCTGCTTAGGCAGTGACTCTAATAATATAAACAAATCCCAGAGGTGCAATTTTGACAGAACTGCAGAAATAAAAACACGAAGGGATCAGACTCAAACAGGAGGGAGTAAGGCAGAACCTTACTTATTCTTAGGTTAAGAAGTTAATAAAAAATCTAAACTTATTGAACCCTCTTTATATTAGTTCTACCTTTTGCTTAGGCTGTGTGCCTAAACCTATCTACACTAGCTTACAAATTCAAGAGAAATAAACTGGTAGAAAATCCTAACAAGAACTCAATAGCATTTGAAGAACTTTTCAAAGTGTTCAACTTAGGGAAGACTCTAGATGCTCTCAGCTATGTTCCTTTTGTGTCTATTGCAAACCATGCTGAGAAGATGAGCCTCATAGAAGCAATGACACTGACTGCAGAGCACAGAATTTCATTTGGCCAGAAAATATAAACTTCAAGGACCTAATGCACATCATGGTGACCAGAATTAATTCTCCACATTTTCATGCATTCTTGGTTTTCTTTTATTGATTTTTATTGAGCTCTACATTTTTCTCTGCTCCCCTCCCTGCCTCTACTTTCCCCCCTTCAACCCTCCCCCAAAATACCCATGCTCCCGATTTACTCACGAGATCTTGACTTTTTCTACTTCCCATGTAGATTAGATCTATGTAAGTCTCTCTTATGGTCCTCATTGTTGTCTAAGTTCTTTGGGGTTGTGATTTGTATGCTGATTTCTTTGCTTTATGTTTAAAAACCACTTATGAGTGAAATACTAAAAGTATAGATTTGTAATATGCTTACTGCAAAAAAATCAGGTAATGCAATGGATTTAACTACCTTAATTTAATCCTTTTATCATATAAACATTTATGAAAACATCACATTATATACAGAGAATTAAGGAAAATGAACTACAAAAAATCTAACAGTTCAATTGGACAGTGAACTAGTGAAATAGCCACAGTTCTCAAAAGATGAAATACAAATGGTCAGTGGATATTTTAAAAAGTTTTCTCCTTTCCTAGCCATCAGAGAAAAGCAAATTAATACTACATTGAGATTTCATATCACCCCAATCAGAATGGCAGTCATTAAGAAAATAAAAGCAAGTGCTTGCAGAGATTTGGACAAAAATGAATACTTTTGTACAATGTAGGTTGAAATGTAAGCTAGTCCAGCAAGTATGAAAACCAATATGGAGTTTCCACAGAAAACTGTAAACAGATCTGCCATATGATCCACCGACACTACCCCTGTAGAGTCAGCAAAATAATTCTAAGTAATATATTACAAATATACAAATATACACATTCATTTTGATTGCATCACCATTCACAATAGGAATAAATCTGAGTATCCAACAACAAAATATGGATAAAAATAATGTCATATATACAATGGTATTGTTAGCATAAAGAGTGAAGTTTGTGGGTCCCAGAATTTATATTGGTATATAAAATGATTAACCTGTCATTCTGAAACCATATAGTGAAGATTTTATAATTTATTCACTTAATTAGAATGATGTATTATACAGGCTATGTACGTTTGGGGTTTTCTTATTTCTTTTACAAGTTGACCTGTGCTGAAGCCAGTATCAAGGTATTATATTTCCAGGAGTGTGGGGTGGGGAGGGGAAAGTGGGAGGAGAGGGAACAGAGATTGGTATATAAAATAAGATTGTTTTAAAGATAAGAAAGTAATTTAAATGCCTGTTAGAAAATATCTTATTATTCTTCATTTCAAAAGTACATTCTCATTATCATGCATTTTATTCCTCCAGAAACATTTTAGGATTATTTTGACAAGATTATGTTTACATAGTTTTAAATTTATACATTTTACTGGGAGATAATGGAAATCTCTAAAATATTGTATCTTCTCCTCAAAGACCACCATACATCTTTCTATTTAAATCAGACATTCCCTTACATACCTCAATACTTTCTTTTATTTTGCCTTATAAGTTCCATATTAAAACTCTATACGAAGCATGAGAAGCTATATCCTTCTGCCTTCTCTGTAGGGTAATGATGATGATAGGTCAACCCTAATGGCATTGGTAGTGCTGAGGTCACTTACCTTATCCCCTTACTCAAAATGATATGTGGAGAAGAGCTTGATTCACATTGATGTGAAGTCAAAGTGGGTGGAAACATTGTGGATCTGACAAGAAAAAGAACCGAAACAAGAGTGGCTGTGGAAAAGCAAACTGTCTTGTCACATTGTCTCAGTTCCTTCTGGGGCAGGGAACCCTAATCAAGATTTGTGATGTTAAGAAGGAATTAGACCAGAAAGAAAGGGTAGAATACCAGCCAGTCAATAATTGCAGAGCCAACATGCATGAAGAGTACTTCATGCCAATTGTATGACCGTGCTGAGTGTGATGAAGAAATGTGTATTGTCTTTGCAGATCTCCAGTGTATCCTTATATGCTTTAACATGAGAAAGCATGTTTGTATTTTGCCAATCATTTCACAGTGACTTTTTGTAAGAACTTAATAATTTGTTGTTGATATAATTTGTTATTGAAAAATAAACAGTAACAAAGAGTGGAGTTTAATGTTTAGTCTCTGATGAGCAGAAGCTGAATTTGTATTATCTGTGCTAATTGTTCAGCCACCTAGACTACAACATTGAATTGTGTGACCTTCTAGAACTAAATTAGAGCAGGCCCAGTTCCCACTTACAATTTCCTCTGGCAACTGAAAATACAGAAGCTGACTATAAACAAAGAGTACAGAAAGATATCCAACACACTAAGAATGCTTTTTCTTCCAACTCTAGTCCTTCACAGTATGTCTCTATTGTGCACAATTTTCAAACACTACCACCAACTTGTAACTTATAACTTGGTGCATCTCCATATATTATGTTCATTTCATAACTCAAGAACTAAGAACCCCATTAAAACTTTTTACTGAAAAGCTTCAAATATCCTTACCAGTTCAGATTTTGGGGTACTATCACTGATGGATCAGTGCTACAATGAGACAGCAGTACATTTCCTGGAAAAAAGGATCTCTTAACAGAGTCCAGAAATATTACACACTGAGTCATAATTCAGGAAAATTTGGGGAAAACACTTTACAAGTATGTGTCAGAGGTAATTGAGGCTTTATATAGAAGAGTCAGCTTGAGGTGATCAAACAGAATTTAAATTCTTTCTCATGCATTGGGTTCGTAGTCTTTAAACAAACCAAAGATGTAATTCCACACATGTCAATAGTCTTGAAGAACATAGATGGAAGAACACTATAAAACTCAATTCAGAATCACATTAAAAATTATCCATTATGATCCAAAATGATTTATTACTGGGATTCAAGGATGGTTCAGTATATATAAATGAATAAATACAACTCACCACATCAACAAAATAAAAAAAATATGATCATTTCAGAAAAGATAAAAAACATTTGACAGAATTTATCTTACAATAAATACTCTGAATAAAGTAGATAAATATTCCCTTATCACAAATTAAAGGTCATATGTAAGTCTATAATTAATATCATATTTGTGGTCTAGTAAAAAGACAAGGATATACATTACCTACTATTGTTAAACATAATGTTGAAAGACAAAACATGTTTCATCATAATGACCTTTATTTTTTATCATAGAAAGGGGTATATGACAATTCTGTTACATGTATTTTGCTCAAGATTATTACTAAACTTGTAAACAAATCAAATATAATATCCATATCATTATTCTGATATAGAATCCTGAAATTTTCAGACATATAGTGAAACATTAAATAATAAAGAAATAATAGACTTTTAAAAGACTATTTTCTTCCATCTTGTTTTATCCCTAATCACAATGTGATTAGGATGTATTTTGAACTATTTCTATGGTGACTCTATTTACTTATTCATCTTCATGTTCTGCAAACATACACGTTTATCAGGGGCCTACTATGTGTTGGATTGGTTCTTGGAGCGATGTAATAAAAGCAAAATAAGAAGCAAAGCACATATCGTTGAACCACATCTTCCTTTGAGTAACTCTTATCCTGAAAATAGGGAAGTTAGTTTCTATGTCCATCTATAAAGACTCAAGTTTTACCTGCTTGTGCCTTTATTTCCTCTACTGACTTAAGAAGATTCTCTTTTGCTTAGTGTGATTAATCACACAAACTGTGGATTTTATTTCTGGCTTTTTCAACCAACAGGCTTCAGAGTGCCATCACTAGCAATGTAAAAACAGTAAGGTATAACATAGAAAAATTATGTACTGTCTTTTTAAAGCATCTAATTAGCTACAGTATGAATCTGTGCATGATTACAGGTGTCAGTAGGAGGATATATTGACTAAGTCAACATCTATTCTGTGCCAAGCAGAGTGATAATTTTCACAGCTGGTCATTTTCTCAAGAGCACTCTTGGCTTTTAGTCAAGCTAAAACATCTTGTTTTCAAAATCAGTAAATAGTCATAATAATGGAAGTATTAGCAGGATCTGAATTGTTAATATCTACTAAAACATCTATGAAAAACAAGCAGCATAGCACAGTATTAAATCACCTTATTAAACCTTCTTTAAATGGTTCAATTCTGTGTGATCAAATTGTTTGAGGCCATTGTCTCTCAATTTGTAGTCTATATTACTGTCTTTTTGCCTAGAAATACTCAAGGAAAGACACTCTGGAGACGCATTAACCTATCTGCTGTTGCATTTTTTTCTCCAGGGAAACAGAAATATCTGTGTGCCAGCAGAAATGATTGTACCATTGATAAATTTCGGAGGAAAAATTGTCCATCTTGTCGACTCCGCAAATGTTATGAAGCAGGGATGACTCTGGGAGGTAAGAATATTTTCTTCTTTTTTCTCCTTGTTCTTCATTTTTCTCCTTTTTATCCTTCAGCTTGCCTCCCTTTTTTTTTATAATTATTGCTCTAGACGGGATTCTCCTCCGCAATGCTTCTAAGAGTACCATATATGCACAAGACTCAGGCTGACTTTCTCATGGTGCCTTCTTTATTTTAACCTATGACATTCATATCTTTAGAATTTTGCTTAAGACCAAGAGGCATGAAGCAAGGATCAGAAACTAACAGAAAATGCAGGAGGGTGTGCTTTTTGGATTCTGTTCCTCAGGTGATCTATTGATAATGGCCTGAAACTGTTCAGGGGTAAGGACGAGAGAACAAAGTAATGAAAACTGTCACAGGGGCAGGATGAGTAGGGCACAGGCAGGCTGTGAACACCTGGGACTACCCTTCAGCTAACTGCCGCATGTTCTGTAGAGAGAGCCAACTGGAGTGTGAAGCTGCTTCTCTTTGGATTCTGTGTCTAAGGCACCAAACAGAGCCAATTTCCTATCCTGTGTCTCCCAGAAATCAGCAGGCCTTTTAATCATTTCCTTTTCTTTACAAATCCATTGATCGTTTCCAAAAGCATTTTCCCAATGGCACAATAGCTTCTTAGAAGATATAACCCCTCCCAGGGTGACCTTCTATCGTAAGCCTCCATGTTCCATGAACTTGTGTCTACCATGAGCTCTGTCATCCTTCTGAAATGGCTTCATACTGATTGAATGACACATATTTCCCCTCTTCTAATTCTTCATATCTTCATCTACCTCATGCCAGAATTCACACGGTGCCTGCTGCTTCCAAACAGATGCATCTTTCATGAGAAAAAGAAGCTCATTAGTCTACTTTGATTTAGAAATGAAACTCAAAGAAAAACAAATGTATTTCTGAGTACCAAAAGCTATAATCTTTATTCAATTACTCAGTAACCATTGGAAAAACCCAAATGACTGGAATTCAGCCCACTTTTCTCTCATCTCAGGGCTAATTTACAACAATTATTATCTCTGGCTTCCCATAAGGCACTCAGTGCCTTCTCTGCCTATATATCATTGTGATAACTACATCCTCCCCTCCTCAGAGACCAGTTAGTACTTTTTACCAGATCATAATACTGCAAGCAAATTGTTTCAGGCTTGATCTGTGAAAATTTCAACAGGAGCATCAGGTAACATGTAGTACTCTCTGGCTCCACAGGCAGATGCCCTCTGAGCTAGTTTCTAGGCAATGATATCAAATGAGAATCAAATATTGGTCAATCCAACCTTGCTTTTACTTGTCTTGCTAAGGATATACTTTAGTTGTGATATTCAGTGGGGAAGAAGCCACAAGAACAGTGGGGGGTGAAGTAGAAAGAAATCCAGGAGAAGAATTGAAAGGAAAAGTTTTGCTACATGAATGTTCCAAGTCCTGAGCAAGTGTTCTGATACACTTGCATCTCAATCATTTAACATCCTGTGAATTGTGCATAATATACAGTGGCTTCTAGATTGAGGAGCCCCTTCCTTGCCGTCTTTTGAAAGTAACTGTAAGCCCATTTTGATACAAGTAAAATTTAATCATAAAATACTCCTTGTTAAGATATTTGTTTCATATCAGAGTCCATATCCTCCATTAAGGGAAAAAATAGTTCTTCTGGCATTATTACAGTAAACCTCTTTGAAAGAGAAATCTATATATGACTAAGATTTTAATTGTACAGTGTAGCACTGACATAGCTTTGTGCATTCAGTCGCTGAAAGAGTGATACAAAAAGCTATCTGATTGATTTACTAGAAAAAGTGGTCAAGTTGAGTAGGCATGGGAAATACAATGCTGAATTGCTATGGACAGTTTTCACCTAAGTTTCTTTCCCATACAAACAAGACAGCACATTGGACACTAGAGGTTCAAACTAACAAACTTCAAGAAAACTAGAAAATAGACGCCCACAAAATACAATGATTCTTTTATTTTGTTTTGTTTGGTTTTTCTTTCTTTTTGCTATGCAGGGAATTGAACCTAGAACCTTGGGCATGTTAGGCAAGTATTATACCACAGAGATAGATGCCAGAGATAGATGCCCAGCCAACTCATAGAAGAATTATTGATTACCTCTGAAGTCAGACAGACCTAGGTTAAAAGTCCAGATCTATTCTTTACTCCATGTCCCGGTGAACTTCATTTTCATTATCTCTAATTTGTAGATATCATTCTCAGAGTTCCAGTTAGGAGAAAATAAAAAGATGAATAAGAGCATCTTTGAGAAAGTGCTAGACAAGTGTGAGGACTTATTATTACAATGCGGTTCCCAGCATATTAGGTAGACACAAACTGTTCTTAGCACTTTCCGATGACTTTCTCCTTAATAAATAGCTTGGCTTGCCGTGCAATATGTGATATGTAACAACAGTCAGCAGTTCACACACACACAAAAATACTTCTGATTACCTCACACTGAAAAGTGCTATAAGCATAATGCTTAAAATCTGATTTCAACAATTTTAATTTTAAAAACTTTATGTTGATATTAGAGTACCAAGCCAGTGAAAACCAAAGTGTTTATTTTCTTAGGCTTAAAATAGAAACCTTTGCACGTCACTGGAGTTATCACCACATCTTCTGCTTTCCAACATAACTCCTTCCAATGTTTATTGTTAACTTACAGTATCAGTATATAACACATTTTATTCAAACAATGCTAAGATAAAAGAAAGCATTGGCCCATAGTGACTTTGGTGAATATATTGGCGGCATCCTCTCATTTTCGTAACATTTGGGTTTAGCATATACTTTTTGTCACCTTTGAGAAGAATTTAGACAATTTTGATTCCTTTTCTTTGTCACTCACACTATAATTATATAATATATAATAAAGCAGCAGTTCAGAATAAAATCTTGGGTGAGTGATTTCTTCCTCCCAGAGGATCTGTTTCTTTCCATCATGAGACTGGGATGATCAGATTTACCAAGAATCCTTCTGCTCTTAAAATTGTGTGATCTGATGCCAAAAACCACGAAGAAAAGATCGTAAGATTATCAATGTCTTCATTGCCTTTCACCTGCTCATAGAAGTACTAATACAAGAGATTGATTTGCAGAGTAATTTTAGCTACCCCTATTCACAGCTATGTAAGGTATGTGCCAAAACCATACATGATGAATAGATAGTTGAAGGAGTGGAGGATAAAGTAGATGTTTTTAATTCTTGGAGAATATGACACTCTACAATTGATATATGTTTGGTCTCAACATCTTATGATCTCTAGCATGGCTGTATCTATAGTGTTCTATTTGCTGATGATGTTCCATTTTCTGTTAAATTAAAAGACACTTAGTACAGATAGCCTTTTCTTTGGGTTTCCATGCCTACCTTCCTATTCCCTTGCTTATTTTCTTAGAAACTAATTGGTATTTATTAAATAATCCCACAGGTGATGAGTTGTCAGGATAACCTTTCAGGTTCTTAAATGTCCATCCATGGAAAAATATATGTCTTTCTTTGTTCTTGATTAATATCTGGCTGTTTTTGAAAACTATTTATCAAGAATTGCTTAAAGAATTTACATGTCTTGTCCATTTGTTCTTTTAAGAAAACATTTAACAGCCTGGATAAGGACCTTGCCTTCAGTGAATTGATGTTGACTTTTATATAGTACATAATTCAGAAAAATGCACAGGCATCTCTCACTTTATTTTGTACTTCCCAAGAAACAATTCCAGTTTCCAAAATGGAATCAGAAGAGAGAACCAACCTTCCTGCCATCTTCTTTCCTGTCCCTTTTCTTTGCTCATGTTCCATCTTTCCTCTTATTGCCCTGGACAACTATTATTTCTTTTTTTCCTAAGACTCATAAGTTCTCCGTATGTAGTAAATATTATGAACCTACATATCCCTTGCCATGAATCATTTCATTTTGTAGGCTGTACAGAAATTTCAGATAGCAGCTACCACCCACAGGAAAGGAAGGACAATGGGGACTAAGAGCATGTGAGATTTGATAAAGTGTACATTTATTTGAAAGGTTATTTAAGCCTGTTATTGCAGTGTTTGTGAGACTGAGAAAGGAATATCATAACTTTAAGGCTAGTTTGCTACATAGCAAGCTCCAGGTCAGCTAGGACTATATAGTGTGAGCATTCACAATAAACAAGCAAGCAAAAAGTTTAAATGAGAAGTTTCTTTACTACTAGGAGATTGGACATTGCCTATAAAGACAAAATTTTAACATGTATGCAAATTTTAACAATGTCCATGAGTTCTGTAGTTAAGAAAATAGTTCAGAGAGCCCTGACAATAGTCTGATGCCACGATAAGCAGTAATTTCCAATGTTCAAGGTAGTCCTATGCCAACTACCTCATCATTCACCACCTCCAAGAGAAGAACAACATTACTCCTTCCATATCAAATATCCTAGATGTGAGAAATGATTGCAATGTTAAAATACCAATTATGACATGGGTCTTTGTGTGTTTTTCAGTTCATTGATGTGACTTCATCTCTCCATGCACTTACTCATCTACAAATACATTTAATAAGTTCCTATTACATGCTAAATATGTACCAGACTCTATACTAGAATCTGGGAATGGCAAGCCTAATAGTAGAGACTTAAGCACATTCTTGTTATTTTTATACTTTATTTGACTTTGTTTTATGTGCATTAGTATGAAGGTGTCAGATCCCCTGGGACTAGAGTTAGAGACAATTGTGAGCTGCCATGTGGGTGCTGGGAAATGAACTCAGGTCCTCTGGAAGATCAGTCAGTGCTCTTAACCACTGAGCCATTTCTCAAGCCCCTTAAATGTATGTTTTAAAAATTATATAGAGACAAGGAGGTGGCTCATCATGTGATAACAATTGCAGCCAACCCGATATTCTATATTTGATCTCTGGAACCTATATTGTGCAGGGAGGTAACCAACTTCCTCAGATTGTCCTTTGACCTGTGACATATTCATACCCACATGCACACGAATGTACACATGTATACACATACAAAATAAATA